GGCAGGGCCTAATTCAAAAAAAAGGGCCACGCTATTCGATGCGCAATGGTCGAAAACCTCGGGTGTTGAAATCTCAGCCCCATTCAATGAATATTACTCCCAAAGGAAGGTTTTCAGTGAAGATGTTCATCTCCAGCGGCGTGCTGGGTGTGTCAACGGCAGGAGGCTAAATTCAAAAAAAGGGCCACGCTATTCGATGCGCAATGGTCGAAAACCTCGGGTGTTGAAATCTCAGCCCCATCCAATGATTATTACTCCCAAAGGAAGGTTTTGAGTGAAGATGTTCATCTCCAGCGGCGTGCTGGGTATGTCGGCTGGCACTGCCCATCTTGAAAATCGGGCCACGCTATTCGATCGGGCGTGGCCGAAAACCCTCACGGGCCCGAATTTCGGCTCGATCCGGTGCGTTTCCGGTCTTCAGGAAGGTTAGAACCGGCTAACCCAGAATTTGCCCAATTAATGCGTTTGCTTATAGTAAACGCACTTTTGCCGGCCTCCTGGCCGGCTCTCAGCCGGCCTGGCCGTCTTTTTTGGGTTTAGCCAAAGCAAACAAAAGATGCGTTCATATTGATGATTCGCAGCTTTTTTTGGCGTCATTGATGCGTGGTAGTAATGTGCACGCAAGGCATGGAGAACGACGGCTACACTAAATAAAATCATCCGCAGCCACTGGGGTGAGTTTTTTGTCTTTTTGTGTTCGTTGTCGCGATTTTTAAATTGTATTATTCTTTTTGATGTATTTAAATGTGCTCACGGTGTTCTGCCGACGGGGAGTTGGATAGCGGCAGAACTTGAAAGATTCTAGCCATTTCCAACTCGCTTGTCGGCATCCACCCGAATTGCACTTATTTTGCCAAGTGAATTGTTTCACTTGGATTTTCTTGTGTGCATGTTTATGTGAGAATGTGTTTGTGTATGAGTGAATTAAGAGTGTGTGAGTGTTTTTATTCATTTGTTCGATTGTTTTGGATGTTAGATTGTTGTGAGTGAGTGCGTTGTGTTGAGTGCGTTGTGTGTTTTCTTTTTGTTTCAAGTTTTCATAATCATTTGGTGTATGATGAGTTGAAATGCATGACATTTTTCGCTCCTATATGAACAGGTTAGTGTTCCATTACATGTTTTTTGTGTGCCTTCAGAATTGTTCGCTTGAAGTGCAACGCAAATGTCCAGGTATGCATTTTTCACGTGGTTGTTCACATTTCCACTTGTATTCTTCTTTTCGTGTTGCACATTTCTTTATTTTTGTCAAGGTGTTTTTATTGACCTTGTGTTATATTGATGTGCGAGTGCGTGTATGTGTGAGATACGGATGTTTTCCTTTTCTTAGCGCGCAATTCTGGATTTTTGTGTGCACGTTTCTATTCGTTAAGTTATTTAGTGTATGTAGGCGATGTTTAAGTGTGTGTGTGTGTGTATGTGTGAGAGCCGAGTCTTCTTCCATTTCCTTATGTTCAGTTCGACATTTTCGCATGATTAATCTTGATTAATAAATCAGTGTGCGTATTGGTAATGGTGTGTCAATGTGTATTCCACAACTTGCTGTATGTATCTAGCCATCGATGTTTTCCAACCATCATTTTGTGCTTATCTATATGTTTATGTTGTATTCTTATCGTGTATATTAGTCAGTATCGCATCTGTGAAATCTGTGTGTACATTGTGTGAACGGCCGACGCTTTCTTCTCTTCATGCGCAAGTCTTTATTATTGCGTATGTTTTCTTATGGTATATATATATATATATATATATATATATATTTGTAACGATGTTTCCATCTTTTTTTGGCTAATGTACTCTGTTGTGGCTCGGTGTTTTGCCGATGGGGGGGGGGGTTGGATAGCGCTAGAAATTGAAAGATTATAACCCTTTCTAACTCACTTATCGGCTAGCACACCACCTGCGCCTATTTTGTAAACTTATATCCTTTACTTGGATTCCCTTGTGCTTATGTTTACTTGGGAATGAGTGTGTGCGTGTGTGAGATGGTTTATCTGAGATGGCAATAAATTGACGAAGTTTACATTTTCTATATTTCATATATGGTTATTAGTAATTCTTCTCATTACTCACTTTCTTTTGGCACGCCCATCGGTCTTGATTATTTAATGTCTCTTGAACGGCTTGGCTCAACAAGCTCTTCAACATACATTCAAGATTATCGGACATGTGAAATAAAAGATCACCGCTTTTTTTCATTGCAACATGATGGCTGCCTGTGAGGTTACGCTGCTCAATGTGGAAGACAATTTCATGTGAAAGAGTATGAGCTAATGTTGAACATCTTATCATCTTAGTTTCATTACATACAATTTTAGACCTGTATTCTGCACAATTTCAATTTACAGTTCCGTATTACACCAAATCATGTAATAACATCGGGATCGTAGTACCTCACCTCGAAAATTTACCTATAATATGCCCATCAGTTCGAGAACAATGTTAATTAATACTACTACAAAGTTGTAGCTAACTAGTCAAGCCAGCTCTCATTCGCAGATATTGGCGCTGAAATCTGTAGTCGTCATATTTGTCCATTATTTCTAACGCTTCTCCAATATCCATATTCCTTTGATTTCGCAACTCGAGCCACATGGTCTCATTCGATTTTTCGAATCGCATAAGCCTTGCTTCGCCGTACATCTCCAAAATTGACTTCTGATCATCCTTGTCTGAAGTTTGTTCAGCCTGTAACTAGCAACTACTATTGATCCTATCCTATTGGTTTTATGCAATGCTCACTTACCACAACTTGGCAGAGTTTCTGCTTATCGTCATACACGATGCAATTTCCATATCGTTTTCTCTCAGTTGCATTAATTACACTTCCTAGCAACACGACTACCATCATTCCCTGCTTCCTTCTGCGTCCGAATCGAGCTTTTCCTTCTTCCCGTTTTAACACCAGTATCACGGGATTTCCTTTGTTGTATGCGTCGTTATGAGCGACACAGAGTAACTGCAGTAAAGCATTGGCGTTTGGTGGTATATCGGCATCGCCAGGTGTTGTAGGATATCGATCCTGAATTCAATTTTCAACTCTCATGATGGCTCCGTCACAAAATTGTTCCCCACCTACTGGATTGAATTCGTTCAATTTAATGCAATGCAAATATACCTCAATGCCTAGAAACATGAGCCGATTGCGATGGTATGCCTCGGCTACTCCTTCGAATAAACTCGTAGCATTATCATCATGAACAAACATAAGACCGGCTACACGACTCTTCATATTCAGTGACAGGAACACGTTACGTGATGTGATAACGCTTCGCAAATCATCGTCGCCTTCCTTTGGCCACAAGCCCATTTGTTGCGAGTACGAGCCTTCGTCTCTTGGTGACTCTGTCGGTATAATGGGGATTGCTACAGGAATATGAAGATCTAACGATGACTCTGAAATATGTGTGGTGACACGTGAGCGTGACAGTGGAAGCGTGTTATACGTTCCTCAATAACAACAATATTCTTACCGAGTTTTGGCTGGCATTTTTCACACATACATCGTATGGATTTACCAGCGGGTGTATAATGCTTGCCATAGTCCCACATGAGCTGTTCACCTTTCTGAAGCAGCAAGCAAGGCAGTTGAGCACAGAGTAAAAATTACGTAATGTGAATTTACCTTTATGTTGCACTTGGCTTTAAATAGTAATAGCAGCTGCTTTTGTGGTCCTAGATCCGTGGAGTAGGTGAGGTCTATGCACTTGGTAACAAGATTGGCATGCGTTCTGCTATGATTGAAAAGACGACCAATTGTGACTGCTCCTTTATATATGGGGTGGTGTGCAAGAATGGAATAATTCTGTGTCTTGTCGATGCCCTGTTCATTCCTAAGTCGAGCTGAAAAATTTTATAATTTTCCTGATTCACTCACAAATCAGCGTTTAGTTTCGCCATACAGACGATACTCACCATTATATTCGACTTCATAATCACCTATTGCATAGGCATCTTCCTCACCTAGGCCTTCCTTTAATTTTACAATATCGTCTTTACGTATATATTTACCTCTGAAACATGCTTGTATGGGAACGATTCGCGGACGTTATGGTAATTAAGGTCAAAAACATGTTTGAATGTTACCTATAGTCGCAGACGATTTGATTCTTCGATATTTCAGTTTTGGCGAAGACTCCTTTGCCACCAATGCTGTGTATGTCACGCACTTCGAGCCACGGGAAGTCCTTAATTTGGTCGATAGTTAAGGATTTAAGCGTGCACACACAAGGGAGCTCATCATATGATCTCTGACCTGATATGGTTGATTCAGACGTCGGAGATTGAATCGCTGTCGCTGGAGTTCCGTCTTATAATATTCCAACATTCCCTTGTCGTAATGCCTGTTGTTAAGAGCTCGCATATAATCGAGCACATTTTCGGGAACAGCAATCTCCGGCAACGGTGTGGCATAGCGGTCACGGATTTGTAGCTGCTCCAGGGGCAGTTGCTGCTCTATTTCCCGTTGAAAACGCTCTGCAGCAGCCGCTCCGCGAGCTAGCACAGCTTGCTGCTCTTCATCATATTGTTGACTTGTTGCTGGGGTTGTTGGAATGGGTACAACAACCTTCTGTACTTGCCCACTCGATGGTTCACCACGCTTTCTTTTTGGTCTGATGATGGAATACTGCTCTAGAGGTGGTGCTAAATGGAACAAATACTTGTCTTCAAAGAAATTTAATCGTTACTAGATTCCATAAGCCTACCTCCTGATTCAGCTTCAGCAGTTTCAGTGCTAATCTGTGCCACTCCTTCGCGTTGTGTCGGTAGTCCAGATGAGGTAGGAGATTCAGCAGGTGCAACGTGTTCTCCTCCGGTTCTGTTTTCGGGTGGTGGGACTTCAGCACTGCGACCTTCGCCGCTTTGCCCTCTGATGACTTCCGTGGACTCGTCGTCTTCGCTCAACATTGCTTGTTCGCTATCACGCTTTCGCCTTGTCCCTGATGGCAAGCGAACTCCAGCATCTAAATTTCTCCTCTGAACATTCAGTGCAGCAATACGACTACAACCAATAAGAAGCGCTTCGTATACCTGCGGATTGAACTGGCTCATAGTCTTGTGTGTCGTGTTCGCCGTCGTCTATTTCATCACTAGCATTGAATTCCTCCCAATTCCTGTCCTCCTCTTCTTGTAGGTCCATATCATCGCCTTCAGCAATATCCTGTGGCTGTGGTTGCGGTGCTGAAGGTCCAGCTTCATGAGCAACAGCTTCTCGCTCAGATACCCTAAAAAAATTTTAATGTATAGATTAGATTTGAATATCGGATGGACATAAGCAGAATACTGACATTCTCAACCTCATCAACATTCTGTCCACTTCAGCCAGCCGTTCAATCATTTCCTCTCTTGTCGCCTGCTCATTTTTGCGTAGGTTCTCAGAGTCAAGTAGCC